AAAAATATCATCACAGTTGAGATAGGGTGGGTGGGCGGGGTTTATATTTTCCTTTTTTTGTTAGAATACATAGTATTCTTTGAACAACGCGATACTCAAAAACATGTTTTTAATTTCTTGTTAATAAATAAGTATTTTGCAGTTAAACTTCGCCTCCTCGGTCGACGTCGAATAAAAAAAATCATCACAAATGAGATAGGGCGGGTGGGCGGGCCTACATTTTGCCTTGTTATTGTAATATGTATAGATTTCTTTTCACAACATGGAACTTAAAACATGTTGAAATGGAAAATTTGTATAGGGAAAGATCGATTTTGCAATTAGCCTCCACACTATAATTGCAAAAAAAAATATTTCCTTGCAAAAATGTACCATTTTAACCGTGTTTTAAGTTTCTTGTTGTGAAAAGATGGCTACGAATTTAAGAAAAAAAAAAGGCAAAATATGAGCCCCGCCCACCCGCCCTATCTCAATTCTGATGATCTTTTTTATTGGTCGTAAGTCGTAAGGCCGGAGCTTAATTGCTAAATCCATATTTCCCTACAAAAATTTACCATTTTAACCGTGTTTTAAATTTCTAAGAATTTTAAAAAGATCTTCACAGTTGAGATAGGGTGGGTGGGCGGGGTTTATATTTTCCTTTTTTTGTTAGAATACATAGCATTCTTTGAACAACATGATACTCAAAAACATGTTTTTATTTTCTCGTTAAGAAATAAGTATTTTGCAGTTAAACTTCGTCTCCTCGGTCGACGTCGAATAAAAAAAAACATCACAAATGAGAGAGGGCGGGTGGGCGGGCCTACATTTTGCCTTGTTATTGTAGTATTTCACAACATGGAACTTTAAACATGTTAAAATGGAAAATTTGTATAGGGAAAGATCGATTTTGCAATTAGGCTCGGCCCCATAATTGTAAAATACATATTTCCTTGCAAAAATGTACCATTTTAACAGTGTTTTAAGTTTCTTGTCGTGAAAAGGTGGCTACGAATTTAAGAAAGAAAAGGCAAAATTTGATCCCCGCCCACCCACCCTATCTCAATCCTCATGATCTTTTTTATTGGCCGTAAGTCGAAGGCCGGAGCTTAATTGCAAAATCCATAATTCCTTAAAAAAAATATCATTTTAACCGTGTTTTAAGTTTCTAAGAATTTTATAAAGATCATGACAATTGAGATAGGGTGGGTGGGCGCGCTTTATATCTTCCTTTTTTTGTTAGAATACATAGTATTCTTTGAACAACATGATACTCAAAAACATGTTTTTAATTTCTTGTTAAGAAATAAGTATTTTGCAGTTAAACTTCGCCTCTTCGGTCGACGTCGAATAAAAAAAATCATCACAAATGAGATAAGGCGGGTGGGCGGGCCTACATTTTGCCTTGTTATTGTAGTATTTCACAACATGGAACTTAAAACGTCTTAAAATGGAAAATTTGTATAGGAAAAGATCGATTTTGCAATTAGGCTCGGCCCCATAATTTGTAAAATACATATTTCCTTGCAAAAATGTACCATTTTAACAGTGTTTTAAGTTTCTTGTCGTGAAAAGATGGCTACGAATTTAAGAAATAAAAGGCAAAATTTGATCCCCGCCCACCCACCCTATCTCAATCCTCATGATCTTTTTTATTGGTCGTAAGTCGAAGGCCGGAGCTTAATTGCAAAATCCATAATTCCTTAAAAAAATTTACCATTTTAACCGTGTTTTAAGTTTCTAAGAATAAAAAGATCATCACAGTTGAGATAGTGTGGGTGGGCGGGGTTTATATTTTCCTTTTTTTGTTAGAATACATAGTGTTCTTTGAACAACACGATACTCAAAAACATGTTTCTAATTTCTTGTTAAGAAAGAAGTATTTTGCAGTTAAACTTCGTCTCCTCGGTCGACGTCGAATAAAAAAAATCATCACAAATGAGATAGGGCGGGTGGGCGGGTCTACATTTTGCCTTGTTATTGTAATATGTGTAGACTTCTTTTCACAACATGGAACTGAAAACATATTAAAATGGAAAATTTGTATAGGGAAAGATCGATTTTGCAATTAGCCTCCCCCCTATAATTGCAAAATCCATATTTCCTTGCAAAAATGTACCATTTTAACCGTGTTTTAAGTTTCTTGTTGTGAAAAGATGGCTATGAATTTAAGAAAGAAAAGGCAAAATTTGATCCCCGCCCACCCACCCTATCTCAATCCTCATGATCTTTTTTATTGGTCGTAAGTCGAAGGCCGGAGCTTAATTGCAAAATCCATAATTCCTTAAAAAAAATATCATTTTAACCGTGTTTTAAGTTTCTAAGAATTTTATAAAGATCATGACAATTGAGATAGGGTGGGTGGGCGCGCTTTATATCTTCCTTTTTTTGTTAGAATACATAGTATTCTTTGAACAACATGATACTCAAAAACATGTTTTTAATTTCTTGTTAAGAAATAAGTATTTTGCAGTTAAACTTCGCCTCTTCGGTCGACGTCGAATAAAAAAAATCATCACAAATGAGATAAGGCGGGTGGGCGGGCCTACATTTTGCCTTGTTATTGTAGTATTTCACAACATGGAACTTAAAACGTCTTAAAATGGAAAATTTGTATAGGAAAAGATCGATTTTGCAATTAGGCTCGGCCCCATAATTGTAAAATACATATTTCCTTGCAAAAATGTACCATTTTAACAGTGTTTTAAGTTTCTTGTCGTGAAAAGATGGCTACGAATTTAAGAAATAAAAGGCAAAATTTGATCCCCGCCCACCCACCCTATCTCAATCCTCATGATCTTTTTTATTGGTCGTAAGTCGAAGGCCGGAGCTTAATTGCAAAATCCATAATTCCTTAAAAAAATTTACCATTTTAACCGTGTTTTAAGTTTCTAAGAATAAAAAGATCATCACAGTTGAGATAGTGTGGGTGGGCGGGGTTTATATTTTCCTTTTTTTGTTAGAATACATAGTGTTCTTTGAACAACACGATACTCAAAAACATGTTTCTAATTTCTTGTTAAGAAAGAAGTATTTTGCAGTTAAACTTCGTCTCCTCGGTCGACGTCGAATAAAAAAAATCATCACAAATGAGATAGGGCGGGTGGGCGGGCCTACATTTTGCCTTGTTATTGTAATATGTGTAGACTTCTTTTCACAACATGGAACTGAAAACATATTAAAATGGAAAATTTGTATAGGGAAAGATCGATTTTGCAATTAGCCTCCCCCCTATAATTGCAAAATCCATATTTCCTTGCAAAAATGTACCATTTTAACCGTGTTTTAAGTTTCTTGTTGTGAAAAGATGGCTATGAATTTAAGAAAAAAAAGGCAAAATATGAGCCCCGCCTACCCACCCTATCTCAATTCTGATGATCTTTTTTATTGGTCGTAAGTCGAAGGCCGGAGCTTAATTGCAAAATCCTTATTTTTCTACGAGAAATTACCTGATGAATATGTTCTTAAGTAAACGGGTTACATAAAGAAAACTAAATGTATTAGTTAAAATAGGAAACCAAAAGAGAAGCCTCACGCATTTTTTTTATTCGTTGTCAGACCGAGGGGCGGAGCGTAATAGCAAAAGCGATATTTCCGTAAAAACTGACTACACATATTAAAAAAAAGGCGTTGGGTGTTTATTTTACAACGGCAACGTCAACGGAGAACAGCAACGTTAACGGCAAGTTTATAAATCGATCTTTATGGTAAGAAGATAATGAAATTTTGTTTCCCCCTTCCCAAAATTGAAGACGTCGTCGACAAATTTCGCCGATTAAATTCCATCGTGAATGTACATAAATAACACCAGCAGTCTTTACTTGTCGATTATCAGCAGATTCCTTTTGGACTGTACTTCAGCGAGGGAAGTTCTGTCGAAATAATTTTCGACCAATTTTATTCTATATCTTACAGGAAGTTTTAGCACTGAATTTTCAATTTACAAATTTTCACAATTCCATTTGTACTTACAAAAATAACACATCACATGTCACATGCTTATCACAGGAGCACAGCATACCAAATTTTATATTTCAAAATATTTTAACATATATTTTTAGTATGACCTTAATGATATATAGCTTTCATAAAATTCAACAATATTAAAAAATAAAATAAGTATTGCAATATATGTAACTATTTCGGACGACACGTTATCCCCACGAGGCGAAAAATTCCAATAAATTTCGGTGTTGTGGGGATGACAACGTGTTTGGGTTGTACCCCAATTATATGAAAACTGCCGAAAGTAACGCATAACATGCCTAACGTAAACGCAACGTAAAAATTAAGGGTTGCAGGAAGTTAGTCATGTCATGCGATTTCCGTCGATATTTTAACCAATTTTCGCAAGCCATAGCACTAAACACACTCTTCTTTAATTAATAATAATTAATTTCACAAATTTACCGTAGTTTAGATTCGTACCTGACGTTATAAAAATATAAACTACATATTTAATTATGTCAAACGAAGCATTTTCTGCTTCAGAGGCAGAAAAATTGTTTTAGCCTTACATCAAGAGAATTAATTTTCATGATCACCGATTTCTATTAGTTCTAAGACGTCTACGAGAAGATCACATTTATCAAACAATCTTTCAGAAAAGTAGTAGCAAGCTTTTTTCTTTAAAAACATGAGAGTGCTCGTAGCTTGATTGTGTTTGTCCTAGTTACTGAATGCCTTGTTTGACCAATACTCACTGCTATCGTTTCCTTTACCAATTACAAAATAATTTAAAATTTGATCGTTTGAAAGCTTTCTAAGCATCGTCCGTAGCCACGTAACTTACTACATAAGTTACTTTTACAAAAGATATGCAAAGTGTGTACAGGGTGTTTCATCTAAAAGCCTCCACTTTATTCTAAATTTTTTATTACTATTCAACAAAAATATTATAGTATGTCAAAAAAATAAAAAAGCTAGACTAGAGTAAGTTTTGGGTCAAACACCCTGTATGGGAAGCTTCCCGCCCCCTCCCCCACCCCGCCACAAGCATCTCTTAAATGCCTCCATTCCAGAGGGAGAAAGAGCGCGGCTCCCACATCTCCTACATGTTTCGGTTGCCCTTCGCCGCCGGGAGCGTCTTCAGCGCCAGCATGCTGGACACGCTGCTCTACCAGGCCTTCGTCAAGGACTACGTCATCACCTTCGTGCGGCTGCTGCTCGGGATCGACCAGGCCCCGGGTTCCGGCTTCCTCACCTCGGTAACCTAATCATGACCACTAATCAGTTAGAAATTACTTCAAAACTTCTCAGATGAAGATCACCAAGGACGATATGTGGATCCGGACCTACGGCCGGCTCTATCAGAAGCTGTGCTCGACCACTTGCGAAATTCCCATCGGTATTTACAGGACGCAGGACACTTCCATATCGGACTCCTCTCATGTGAGTATGAGCGCTCCTTCGTCTGCCTGGTCGAGCTGCGTGCGTGTGCCATCGGTGAGTATATTAAGAAGTTAAGATTTACGTTCTGAGCGTCGTGGGCATTTGCGATTCGGATAGTTGGCGAATTTTTTTCGGCACCGCTTCGGCACGGGTTTGTGTCGTGCTGAGGTGTTTCACGCATTCTTTCGCACTCGACTGAGTTTCACCACGGTGGAGTTGCTTTGCTTTGTACAAAAGGGGGCTTTTTGCCAGTTTTGAGGTTAATTTGGGGCTTTGAGCGTTTTTTTTTTGTTTTTAAATTCCCGGATGAAATTTAGCGCAAGGAAAACGTGTTTGAAAAAATGTTTAAAGAGAATGGGAGGTTACCGCGAGTTTTCAGGGATTCGCCAAATTGGGGAAAGTAGTCTGAAAACATGAATATTTTTCCTGGGCTTTCTCAGTATTTCTTTAAGGAAACCTTATTAGTGTGTATGTAATTTAAAAAGTTTTGAGGATTTTTGTCGCTGGAAAAGTAAAATTTACATCAAAATTAAGTTTGAAATTTAAAATATATAAAAAACGAAATTTCAAACCGCTTTTAGTTGTCTATTGAACTGAAAATAAGGCTGAATATCAACAAAAAAACAATTTTGGCTTCAGTTATCTCTAAGTTTAAACTAATCAACAAGTGATAAAATTTAAAAAGCAATTCTGTTGGAAAAGTGTCATATGCAGCACCATATTGTATAGATCAGAGTAGTATAAATATATAGTTGCATTACCAACATACATTTTTTCTGTTTTTTTCATTGTGCGTCTACTTTGAGTCATTTTGTCCGTGTATGTCCTTATTTTGTCTTTATACAAATAATAGAAAATTTACTCAATGCTGATTATTTTCGTATCAGATTTTTTTGAGATTTTGATAAACAATAATATGATCTAAGAAGTTGAAAAAAACATTATTTTACGATTTGTTAACGTTCTAAGATCAATGTTTATTTGAAAGAAAAATGTATACAATTAAAACTACTTGAAAAATATAAACGAAAATAATGTCCATTTATTGATTTCTCAATAGGTTATTTGTTTTCAATCAAATCACTAGTAAAACCTATATAAAACACAAATTTCTAAATTATTTATTCAGGGAAACGGTATATAAAAGCACTTAGAAAATTGGTCCGAAGTGGTCCAAGCATTGTTTTTTAAAGAATATCGACTTTATTGTGTTCGAGATTTAAATTTGGTTTATTCAGAACTTTTTTCTTTATTTTGCATAAAACTCAATTACGAGCGGCTGTAAAAGACGAAAACTTGAAAAAAGTGAAAAAAAACCGTTATAATAATGGTTAATTACTTATTTTGAAACGGTCTATTTTAATCAAAATTTCGTCGATTTTTCCATTTTTTAATATTATAATTTTGGTTCTTTAAATTCTAGTTATACGATTTTATATTTCAGTTTCTTGATTTTCCCGTTTTTCGGTTTATCGATTTCTTTTATTTTAATTTGTCATTTTTGGGCTTTTTACATTTTTCCATTTTTCGAGTTTTCGTTTCTCGATTTCTCGATCTTTTGATATTTTAGTTTCCCGATGTTTTTCTATTTTTCTATTTTTTGGTTTTTTAGTTTTTCGATGCTTCTATTTTTCGCTTATTCAAATTTTCGTTTTCTCCATTTTCTTATTTTTTTCGAATTTTCGGCGTTCCTAAATTTTGGAATTTTCGATTTTTCGACTTTCTGATTTCTCTACTTTTACATTTTTCAATATTATGATTTTCCTATCTCTCAATTTCTCGACTTTTTTTCGGTTCCTTGATTTTTCGAATTCCCGATTTTTCAATTTTAAGCTTTCTAATTTTTCAATTTTTCGATTTTTAAGGTTTTTGGTTTTTCAGTTTTTCGATTTTCTTATTTTTCAATTTTTAGTTGTGTCTCAGTTTTTCGATGTTTCAGTTTTGGGTTTTTGCAGTGTTTTGATTTTTCAATTTTTCTTCCATTTTCCAGTTTTTCGTTTTTTCGATTTTGTCGATTGTTCAATTTTTTAATATTTTAATGTTTGGATTTTTAAATTCTAAACTATAGGATTTTTCGATTTCTCATTTTCTTTTAGTTTTCAGTTCCCCGATTTTCTATTTTTCGTTTCTTTAATTTTACACTTTTCGATTTTCCAATTTTCGGTGCTTAAATTTTTTGATTTTTCAATTTCCCGATTTATCGAGATTTCGACGTTTCTATTTTTGATTATTCAGTTTCCGATTTTTCAATTTTTCGATTTATCGTTTTTTTTTTTAATTAAATTTTTCAATGTTTCTATTGTCAATTTTTCATTTTTGGGCTCTTCACATTTTTCCATTTCTCGAGTTGTTTTCTCAATTTTTCGATTTTTCTGCTTTCTTGGTTTTTCAATTTTTCGATGTTTGGATTTTCCAAATTTTTCGCTTCTTCAATTTCTCGAATTTTCAAATTTTCGATTTCTCTATTTTTTATATATGTATCAGTTTTACGATTTTTTATGTCCTCGATTATTAAATTCTTCGATTTTTCAGCGTTTCTGAATTTTGGATTTTTCGATTTTTCGACTTCCCGATTTCTCGACTTTTCGAATTTTCGACTTTTAGATTTTTGATATTTTGATATCTCGAGTTATTTTCGGTTCCTCGATTTCTCGAGTTCTCGATTTTTCAATTTTTAAGGTTTTTGATTTTTCAATTTTTCGATTTCCCTATTTTTCAATTTTTTGTTACATATCTCAGTTTTTCAGTGTTTTGATTTTTCAATTTTTCTTTCATTTTTCAGTTTTATACGATTTTTCGATTTCTCATTTTCTTTTATTTTTCAGTTTCTGAATATTTCTATTTTTCGTTTTTTATATTTTACATTTTTCGGTGTCCCAATTTTTCGGTTGTTTGAATTTTTCGATTTATTATTATTTTTTTAATTTAAATTTTTCAATGTTTCAATTTTTAAATTTTCGATTTTTGGCAATTTAGATTTTTCCACATCTCGAGTTTTCGTTTCTCGATTTCTTGATCTTTTGATATCTCAACTTCTTGATCTTTCAATTTTTCGAAGTTTGAATTTCTCGAGACCTCGATATCTCAATTTTTCGATTTTTCGACTTTTTGGTTTTTCAACTTTTCGAATTTCCAATTTTTCGATGTTTTGGTTTTTCAAATTCTCGATTTCCCTTTTTTTTGCATTTCAGGTTTGGGATCTTTCGATTTTGCAGTGTTTCTAAGTTTTGGATTTTTCGATTTTTCAACTTTCTGATTTCTGACTTTTTGAATTTTTGATATTTTGATTTTCCCATTTCTTGATTTCTAGACTTTTTTTCGGTTCCTCGAATTCTCGAGTTCTCGATTTTTCAATTTGAAAGGTTTTTTGGTATTTCCATTTTTCGATTACTCGATTTTTCAATTTTTAGTTATCTCAGTTTTTCGATGTTTCATTTTCAGCGTTTTTTCCACTTTTTTTCGATTTTTTCTTTTTTCGCTTTATTTACCGATTTATCTACAATTCTTTCAGACTTCGATTTTTCGATTTTTCAGTTTTTTGATTTTTCGACTTTTCGGATCTCAATTTCTCGCTCTTTTGACATTTCAATTTCTCGATGTTCCAATTTTACGGTTTTTGGATTCCTCGAGTTATCGATTTCTCAATTTTTCGAATTTTTTTAGTTTTTGGTTTTTCAATTTTTTGATTTTAAAAATTTTCGATGTTTTGAGTTTCCAATTTTTCGATTTCGCAATGTTTTGAATTTCAGTTTGGGATTTTTCAATTCCTCGATTCTATAATAATTTCTGGATTTCTCAAGTTTTTGATTTCTGGATCTTTTTTATTTTTCGATTTCTCCGTTTTCCGATTTATCAGTTTCACGTATTCGATTTTAAAATTTTTCGATTTTTCAGCGTTTCTAAATATACGATTTTTCGATTTTTTGACTTTCCGACTACTTCACTTTTTGAATTTTCGACTTTTCGATTTTTGATAATTTGATCTTTCCATTTCTCGATTTCTCTTTTTAGTTATCTCAGTTTTTCGATGTTTCAGTTTTAGGATTTTTCAGTGTTTCTTCAAATGCCCTTCGATTTTTTGTTTTTTCGATTTATCCACAATTCTTTCAGATTTTAATTTTTCAAATTTTTGATTTTTCAATTCTACATTAATTTGTTGATTTTCCTATTTGTCGAATTCTCAATTTTTCGTTTTTTTTTATTTTCAGTTTTCCAATTTTTCGATTTCTCGAGATTTCGATGTTTCGATTTCTTAATTTACGAGATTTCGATGTTTCGGTTTATGAATTTTCTTAATTTAGATTTTTAATTTACGATGTATATTTTTAAATAACATAGTGTGGATCTTACTAACTTTACAAATATACATTATAACGTGTTTAAGTAATTCACAATTAAATGATGAAATAAGTGATTCATCGACATTATAACATCCTTGATATAACTCAAATTAAAACCTGATCTGACCTGACTTAATTTGATCCGACTTGACGTGAGTTGACTTAATATCATCTGACTTGATATTATCTAACTTGACCTAGCCTAGTTTTACATGGTCTCAATTGCCTGACCTAATCTGACTAACATTAATATATCTGATCCTGACCTAATCTCATCTGACCTGACTTGACACGACCTGACTTGATCAGATATCTGAATTCATCTGATCTGTTCTAACTTGACATGACTCGATCTAATCTGACCTGACTTGGTCTAAACTTACCTCGTCCCTATCCTCGTCTAAGTTGATCTAACTTGACGTGAACTTACCTAATCTGATCTGACTTAAACTAGTCTGATCTAACTTAAGATGACTTGACGTGAACTGACCTAATTTTATTTGAGCTAGCTTGACGGAACCTGACTTAATTTGATCTAAACTTGACCTGACTTGATCTGACCTGACTTGGCATGATCTAATCTGACTTGACTTAACCTGACTTAACCTGATCTGATCTGAATCTGAAATTTCCTGAATTCCGTAAGTTATATAACACACGTTAAACATTCAGCTTAACTATAAATTTAAAACGATTTACTTCATTTTCGAACCAAAATAAAATATTGCTTTAAATTCCAATTAACATTGCTTATTATTTTAGAAGATTTTTTACCGTCTGTGTATCTGAGTTTAATAAACCCAGCCTCATTTTTGTGTAATATAAACGACTCTGAATTTTCCAACATTACACAGCGAAAGTATATTAAAAAGCACATTTTGAAAGGCATTAGCTTAATTCGTTCGTAATTAAATTTGAGTTTCCTTTCAATTAATACCACAATGTTGACGATGCCACTTTAATGATTTAAAAGTTGGGGAAACCTGTAAAGTTTATAATTAACGAGAACACTTCTGTACATTTTAAGACAAACTTCATCACCGCACGCTTTCTATGTTTAATTTCTTATTATCCATTCAGATTCCAGCGCTTCGTCTCTAATTTTGTCAACTATTTGCGTTAACATTTTCATCTATCATGTATCGATAGCAACTAGATAGATACTCTTAGTCTTAGACGTAGAATAGCGGTCGTAAATGCCCACGACCATAAATGTTCTACTTTAACCACATGTAACTAACTTCTTTAATCACCAGTCAGCGAAAGCACACGCACCGACAGCGCCCAAGAGACAACAGCTTTGATTTTTCATTCCTGGCATGAGCTATGTAAGCGCACGATGTTCTAACATCTTTTTGTCTTTTTATCTCTCGGAATGCGTGAATGTTAACTCACCGCCAAACTCTGTCGACTCGCATATACACCGACTTGGTGTTGTACGTTTTTTTTAAATATGGTTGGAAATTTTTCGAGTGGTAGCGTCTAACTGCATTATATAGCGAGTAGTGCACGTAATTAGTTGGGGCTTTTCCGGTAGCTTGACGAGGAACTTGGACCGGACAGAGTAGGTGTAACTTACCGACCTAAGGACAGCACCAATTGCTTGGGGTGTACTGACCGCCGTAACTCGATGGTGAGTGAATAGACCCTTCCAGGGTGACACTTAGGAGGCTCCTAGATGCTTCAGAAACCGAAAGGCGAAATTTACAGGGCACTGTTTTAGAGATTTTTGTCTATTTTTGTCTGTATGTACTTAATGAGTTCACTGATTTTAGAACGCTAATACCAAACAATTCTTAACATTATTCGGTGACCCATCAAAATATGAAATGTTTCTAGACAAAAAAAAAATATTATTAATTTTTGTTACACAAAATGAGCATATCTTTTTGGTTTGTAATTATTCGCAAAATGTTTAAAATTTGTTTATTATTATTAAATGGGGAGGTCAGGTTAGGTCAACTGCATAATCGAATCCTGTGAAATCTTCCAAACGTTGTAAGGTTATTATCGGACGCTTGGTAAATTATGACATCGTCCTACAATTTTGTCCAAAATAAATGTTACTTAAATATTAAAAATTAACATGGCCCTGGACTTGTGGTTTATGTGTCCGTGTTGAATTTTTATTCTATACATGGAGATTTTTGGAAAAAATAAAAATTGGATAATTTTTCAGTTTCATTTTCGATATTTCTCTTTTGGGATTTTTCAGTTGTTTGATTTTTAAATTTTTCGATTTTTAAGGTCCCGATTTTTCAATTTTTCAGTTTCTCAATTTTTAGTTTTTTGATTACTGAATGTTTCGATATTTCAGTTTTGGGATTTTTCAGTTTTTCGATACTTCAACTTCTCAATTTTTCAAATTTTCGAGATCTCGATTTTTCTATTTTTCAATTTTTCAATTTTTTTGTCGAATTTTCGATATTTCGGTTTCTCAACTTCTCGATTTCCCGATTTTTGAATTTTTAGGTTTTAAATTTTATGATTTTTCAATTTTTCAATTTTTAGGTATCCCGGTTTTTCGATGTTTCAGTTTTCGATTTTTCAATTTTTCGTTTTATCGATTTTTTAATTTAAATTTTTCAATGTTTCAATTCAAAAATTTCTCGATTTTAGGATATTTTGATTTTTCCACTTGTCGACTTTTTGTTTCTCGATGTCTCGATCTTTTGATGTTAGGATTTCTGGATGTTTCAATTCTTCGATGTTTTGTTTCTCCAATTATGCGATTTTCTAATTTTTTTGCATTTCAATTTTGGGATTTTTCAATATTTCGATTCTTCAATTTCTCAATTTTTCAAATTTTCGATTTCTCGATTTTCCAATTTTCAGGTTTTCAATATTTCGATTTCTCGATTTTTCAGTTTTTTGAAACCTCAGTTTTTCGATGTTTCAGTTTAGGGATTTTTTAGTGTAATTTTCGTTTTCTCCACATTTTGGCTTTTTGATTTTGCGATTTCCTAATTTTTTTGCATTTCAGTTTTGGGAGTCTTCAGTTTTTCAATTCTTCAAATTCTCGATTAAAACAAATTTTGATTTTTGGAGTTTTCTATTTTTCTTCTTTCAATTTTCTGCTCGAATTTTCGATATTTCGGTTTCTTTACTTCTCAATTTCCCGATTTTTCAATTTTCAGATTTTCAATGTTTCGATTTCTCAATTTTTCTATTATTTTTTGAAACCTCAGTTTTTCGAAGTTTCAGTTTAGGGATTTTTTAGTGTAATTTTCGTTTTCTCCACTTTTTGGCTTTTCGATTTTCCGATTTTCGATTTTTCGATAATTTGATCCTTCAATTTTGCAATTTCCTAATTTTTTTCCATTTCCGTTTTGGAATATTTCAATCTTTCAATTCTTCAATTTCTCGATTTTTCAAATTTTCGATTTTTCAATTTTTCAATTTTCGATACTTCGGTTTCTCGACTTCTCGATTTCCCGATTTTTCAATTTTCAGGTTTTCAGTTTTTCAATTTCTCCATTTTTCAATTTTTGTCATGTTTCAGTTTTGGATTTTCCAGTGTATTTTCGGTTTTCTCAAATTTTTGAGCTTTTCAATTTTCCGATTTTTCAATATTTCGATGATTTCATTTTAAAATTTTTCGATGTCCTAATTTTTTTGCATCTTAGTTTTGGGATTTGTCTACTTTTCGATTTTTCAGTTTCTCAATTTTCTTTTCGAATTTTCGATTTCCCGATTTTTCAATGTTCAAGTTTCCAATTGTTCGATTTCTCGATTTTTCAATTTTTAGTTATCTCAGTTTTTCGATGTTTCAGTTTTGGGATTTTTTAGTGTATTGATTTTTCAGTTTTTCTTCGATTTTTCATTTTTCTTGTTTCGGCTTATAATTTGTCGATTTTTCAATCTTTTAATATTTTCATTTTTGGATTTTTAAATTCTAAATTATACGATTTCTCGTTTTTTCCAGTTTCTCGATTTGTCTGTTTTTCGTTTTTTAAATTTTGCATTTTTCGATTTTCCAGTTTTTCGATTTTTAAATTTTTAGATTTTTCAGTTTCTCGATTAACTGAAATTTCGATTTTTGGATCTATGATTATTCATTTTCCCGATTTTTCAATTTTTCGATTTATCGATTTTTTGATTTAAAGTTTTTAATGTGTCAATTTTTAATTTTTAGATTTTGGGCTATTTAGATTTTTCCACTTCTCGATGTTTCGATTTGATTTAAGTTTTCGATTTTTCGATTTTTCAGTTTTTCGATGTTTTGATTTTCCAATTTTTTGATGTTTTGATTTTCAAAATTTTTTCATTTCCTAAATTTTTTGCACTCTAGTTTTGGGTTTTTTCAATTTTTCGATTCTTCACTTTCCCGATTTCTCAATTTTTGGATTTTTTGGCGTTTCTACTGTTTTTTTCGATTTTTCGAATTCACGACTTCTCGAATTTTCGGCTTCTAGATTCCTCAATACTTTGATTTTCCCATTTAGTTTTTCGCTTTTCAATTTTTCGATTTCTCGATGTTTCAATTTTTCAATCTTTCGATTTTTGAAGTTCCTGATTTCCCAATTTTTCGATTTTTCGATCTTTCGATTTCCCATTTTTCCATGTTTTTCAATGTTCTGATTTTCCAATTTTTCGATTTCCCGATTTTTTTCATTTCAGTTTTGTATTATTCTATTTTTCATTTTCTCAATTTTTCAAATTTTGGATTCCTCTGTTTTCTGATCTAACGGTTTTACTCTTTTTCAATTTTTCGATGTTTTGATTTTTCGAGTTCTCAGTTTCTCAATATTCCGTTTATTCAACTTCCCAATTTTTTGTATTTCAGTTTTGTAATCTTTCAATTTCTAGATTCTTCAATTTCTCAGTTTTTCAAATTTTCGATTTATGAATTTTTCAATTTTTCAATTTTTCTTTTTTTCGGTTTATCGATTTATCGATTCTTCAATTCTTTAATAGTTTTTTTTTGCATTTTTAAGTTCTAAATTATACGATTTCTCGATTTCTTATATTTTTCAGTTTACCGATTTTTTCAATTTTTCGATTTATCGACTTAAATTTTTCAGTGATTCAATTTTTAATTTTCGATTTTGGGCTATTTATATTTTTCCACTTCTCGATTTTTCGTTTCTCGATTTCTCGATCTTTTGATACCTTAGTTTCTCGATATTTAAATTTCTCGAGTTCTCAATATCTCAATTTTTCGACTTTTCGACTTTTTGTATTTTCGAATTTTCGATTTTCCACTTTTTCGATGTTTTTATTTTCCCATTTTTCGATTTCCCAATTTTTTTTGCGTTTCAGTTTTAGGATTTCCAATTTCTATATTTTCCGATATATCGTTTTTCAAGTATTTGATTTTTTGGCGTTTCTAAATTTTCGTTTTTCGACTTTCCGATTTCTCGACTTTTCGAATTTTAGATTTTTCGATATTTTGAATTTTCCATTTCTGGATTTGTCGACTTTTTTCATTTCCTCGACTTCTCGAGTTCTCGATTTTTTAATTTTACGGTTTTCAATTCTTCAATTTTTCGATTTTCGATTTTTAAAGTCTGATTTTTCAATTTTTCGATTTTTCAATTTTTAGTTATTTCATCAGTTTTTCGATGTTTCAGTTTTAGGATTTTTCAATGTTTCTTTCGATTTTTCGTTTTTCCTATTTTATCATTTTTCATTTCTTAATTTCTCGGTCTTTTTTTATTTTTCTGTATTTCGATTTTTTAATCTTTAGTTTTCTAAATTTATTTGCCAACTTTTCGATTTCTCGTTTTTTTTTATTTTTCCGATTTACAGTGTTTCGATTTTCGATTATTCAATTTCCCCATTTTTCAATTTTTCGATTTTTCGATTTTTCAGTTTTGGATTATTATGATTTTTCAAGTTCTGACTTTAGTTTTTTCGATTTTTTGATGACTCGATTTCTCGACGCTTCAATTTTTCGATATTTCGTTTTCTCGATTTCTCAGTTTTTCGATTTTTCGACTGTTTGGCTTTTGGATTTTTTGATTTTCCAATTTTTTGATTTTTCAATTTCCCGTTTTTTTTGGATTTTCTAGATTTTCAATGTTTCGATTTTTGATTATTCAGTTTCCCGATTTTCCAACTGTTTGATTTTTCGATTTTTCAATTTTGGACTATTGTGATTTTTCCAATTCTAACTTTTCGTTTCTAGATTTCTCGATGTTCCAGTTTTTCGATATTTCATTTGGTCGATTTCACAGATTTTCGATTTTCCAATTTTTCGATATTTCGAATTTTCAGTTTTTCGATTTCCCAATTTTTCTACATTTCAGTTTTGAGATTTTTAAATTTCTCGATTTTTCGTCAATTTTTCGATTCTTCAATTTTTCAATTTTTCGATTTCTGCATATCTTATTTTTTGATTTTTGAATTGTTCGTTTTTTTAAATTTTCCAGTTCTCAACATCTCGGTTTTTCAATGGTTGGAATTTTTCGATTTTTCCGGTTTCCCGATTTTTCAACTTTTAAATTTCGTAACTTGTCAACTCTTCAATTTTGGGAATATTTTCATTTCTGTATTTTTCAATTTTCCGATTTTTTAAATTTTAGATTTTTTGATTTGTCGATTGTTCGATTTCTTATATTTTTTATTTTTAAATTTTTTGATATTTAGATTGCTCGATCTTTCGATTTTTTCGACTTTTTGGATTTCGATTTTTCGGTTTTTCAATTTTTGGTTTAGAAATTAGATAGCCTGTGTAAACATGACATGTTTCTGGATAAGAATTCCTGATTTTTAGGTCTGGGGCTATTTTATCGAAAGCTATTTTGTTCGTGTACGACCATATTGCCATGTTCATGTCTTTTTATTTTGGTTTATGCTGTGTACTTGTCGCATAACTGATTATTTATCGTTGCACGATTTTTCGTAGCTCCCAAAATACGAAAAAGTTGTAAAATAAAATGTAATAGATATTTGCTTCAAGAATTTAGAAGCGTTTTATAGGTTAAAATTGCACTAACATCCAAACCTGACTAAAACAAAAAAATTCCCTTTTCGGTTTCTGTCCGCACATCAGCCCGTGGAAATTTCCTTCATCTAAATTCACTGCCTAACTCCTCTAACGCCTCTTAAAACTTTTAATTCAGCTAGTTCGAAGCTACAGTCGCTTTGCATAACCAGTTTAGACACAAAACTCTTGTAATTATTTGTTCCAGTCGTAATTATTGATCTTTTAACTATGCCTTAGTATTCAATTAATATGGCCGACGAAGCCAAGGATAATCACGAGCAACAGATTGAAAGAGCGGAAATCGCCAATCTCGTTAGATCGCGAATGGAGAGTTTGAACCTGCCAGCCATCGATTATAACGACGTTAGCGAAAAGAGGAACAGCCTGTCGTACGTCATCATCAACCCTAGCTGCGATCTGAAACTGGAAGAAGGGGACATCATGTAAGTAATAACAATAACTTTCTAGTGGAAACTTCGGGTCGCTAATTCACCGAGGTCAAAGTGATCCAGAACCCGCACTACATAATTACCTGGCTTATATGTATGTCTATCTCGTGTCTGTATCCATTTTTATGATACACGTAATCCCCGAAAGTGCTGAACCGATTGTTGTCTAATTTTGTATGTATATTAGACATTTCACGTAGATGGTTCAATACTAACCAAAATTTGGCTAATTATCCCCTCCAACAATTTGACGTCGTTTCAATGAAATATATTTATTTCTCGAAAAATGTGAAGAATACGCACGCCTTTATATAATAATGATAAAATGAGAATTATAATAAGTATTTAGAGCAATTTGTTCAATTGAGGTTTAATTAATAATTTCAGTCCTGTGTTTTGAGAAGACAAACTTATTCAAATCAAACTAACTTTTACGTGACATTCTTTCGATGTATAAACATAAATAAACACTCAAGCTTCAGATTGCTATTACCTAGTACTGAAGGACCCGTTAGTTATATTTTACAGGGTCCATGCGGCGCAGGGGATGCGCGGTTGTTATTTATGTCCCTGATCTTTACTGTACAGTGGTTACCACAAAACGAAAATAGTAAAATCAAATTTTATTTAAATTAAGCATGTACACTGATAATAATAAACTCTTCTACTTGGTTATTTGCTGCTACTGTTGGACTGTACTTCAAGGGTGAGGGAAGTTCTGTCGCAAACTTGGACCATTTTTTTTTATAAGAAAGTGAAACTTTTTTTCGATTTATAGAGATTTCGATGTTTGTCGATTTCTCGACCTTTTCGGTGTTTCGATTTTTCAATGTTTCAATTTCTCTGTTTCGAGTTTTCGAGTTCTCAATTTCTCAATTTTTCAACTTCTCGATTTCTCAATTTTTCGACTTCTTGGCTTTTTTCGGTTTTTCGATATTTTGATTTTCCAATTTTTCGAATTTTCGACTGTTAAATATTTCGATATTTTGATATTCCCATTTCTCGTTTCGTTCTTTCGGTTTTTCAACTCCTCAATTTCTCGATTTTTCAATTTTTAATTTTTGGAAGTTTTTGGTAGTTCAAGAAATTTCAGTGTTTCGGTCTTTCTTCGATTTTTAGATTTTTAGTTTTTCAAATTTTACATTTTTCGATTTTCAATTTTCCGATTTCTGGATCTCTCGTTTTTTTTTATTTTTCAGTTTTTGACTTTTTCGAATTCTCGAGATTTCGATGTTTCGATTTTTCATTATTCAGTTTCCCGATTTCTCAATTTTTCGATTTATCTTTTTGTCAGTGGCGGCTCGTGGTGATTTTCGATGGGTGGGCAATGCATTTTCCGTATGTTATAACATGTATTAGAAAAAAGTATGTATGTATTGTAATACATATATCTAAAACATCTTTGTGAGAGCGAGAGAGCATTTTTGTTTTGGTGCTCTATGTCAGTCAATATAATAAATATTTTATGTATATTATATATATATATATAATATATTAAATATATATATACAAAATATTTTTTGTAAATATTACATATATCGTTCAGCAAGAACCAACGAGAAGGTCAGAGCAACTCTTGCCAGGAGAGGAAAGGGAAGGAAAATAAAGGGTTCTGTACATAAATGGGTTACGGGAGTTAGGAGTTTATCAAAGTACACAGTACATCAAATACTTATCCCAACATGTGAAGATTTTGAAATAATATGAAAAGAAAACGTTAAATTTCAAACCTTTACTAAAGATACACGTAGAAAAAGTAGGAATTTGGAAAATTATCTGATGTAGCGTACTCGTTAAAACAAAAATTAACAAAACTAATAATAAACATAAAAACAAAATTAAAAATGAGAAGTGAAACAAAAACTAAATTCTCAAAATAATAATAAAATTAATATATAACAACAAGCAAAATAAAAATTATTCTCAAAATACCAACAACTTTAAAATGCAAAAAAATAAAATAAATTCTATAAATAAGAACAAATAAATAATACTTAAATTATTTCAAACTTTATTACGGTGGAAAATGAATTGTTACTTAATTTAACTACTGCTTGTAGATTAAATCAATTCGTCTATTTTTACTGAGGGTCTATAACATTATCATAAAATTTCGAAGTTTCAAAATTATCTTGCAAATATTTTACTAAACCCCTTTCAATAGCGATTGTTGGCAAATTACTTAATCGAGACTGATCCATAGAGTTTCTACTGAATGTTTTGATGCGCTTAAGAGTAGAAAAGCTCCTTTCCACCGACGCAGAACTAGCTGGTAATGATAATGCAACGCATAATAATTTATAAATTTCTGGAACATCACTTTGTAACTCATTTGTGTAAATAAATTCTGTAATGTCTGAATAATTAGATGAATTACCAAATATGTCTGGATCGGAATACCAGACCTGTAGTTAGTTCATTTTGTAATATATTCTTTATGAATAATTTTGGATAAGTCTTTAATAACAAATCTAATAAATCGTGAGGAAACTTCTTTTTAAATAAAGTAAATTTACTTTTATCTAGTAAGTCCAAAAAAGCTAAAAACTCTAAATCTTTAAATCTAATATCAATCTGATTCATAATTAAATCTAATATTTCCTTATATAGTCTCCTAAAATAAGTTGTTGAATCGTGGTCTATCCTGCGTTTTTTTATTGGTCCTCCAACAACGTTACATACATCATTATATATTTTTTGAAAATAGTTATCTTCCTCTCTAAAGTTTTTTAATGTTGCCAAAAGATTTTGTATTCTATTTTTGCAGTAGTTCACATCCGAGAATTTAGACTGGAAGATATTGAAAATGGCATCGGTTTGTTCAAAAATAATGTAAAATGTGTTTAATAAAAATAAAAATGTGGTAATTTTCTAACATGTTTTTGAATCCAACTGCCGCTCTGATAGACTCCTGATCTCTAGAAAACTCATCGCTATTTAAAATATATTCAAATACTTCCAACAATTCGGATCTTTCATTAATAATTACATTAATTGTGCGAGATTTGTAATTCCATCGCGTATCTGAACCACTAGGTATTCGTGCGGTACCCACTTCGTCCAAAACTTTGGTACGTTTAGTAGATTTTGAAAAAAAAGCTGACAAACCGTTCACATTAGCAAAAAAAATTCGACATTCCTTTATTTTACTGGCAGAGTCTTGTAAAATTAAATTCATTCTGTGGGCATAACAATGTATAAAAAGTGCTTGAGGAGCAACATTTTTTATTTTTGATTGTAAACCATTCAGTTCCCCTGACATAACAGATGCTCCATCATACGTTTGTCCTATTAACTTATTTGCAAGATCAAAATCCTGAAATGTATTTGTCAACATTTGAAATAAATCATTAGCCCTGCGTCCTTCACTTACATTGAAAAATCCCATAAAACGTTCTACAATTTTACCGTTTGTTATGTATCTAAAAATTACGGATAATTGCGATAAACACTGGATGTCAGTGGTTTCATCGACCTGCCAGGAGAAGCAAGGTGATTGTTTAATTTCTGCTGATATTATTTGTGATATAATTTTGTTGATACTGTCAATTAAATCATTTTGAATGGTTTTAGACAAACCGCTAAATACTGAAGACTCATCCAAAAATTTTTTAAATTTATCATCAAATTTTGATAATAAATTTGCCAACTCTTTGAAATTCCCTTGACTAAGAGAATTTTGTGATTCGTCATGTCCCCGTAATGCTTGTTCCTGTGTACCCAAGAAAATTATCATGTCGATTAAACGTCTAATAATGTCCCTATTTTCTTTAATTATCTCATTCTGCTTTAAAATATTTTCACGATAAGCCGAATTAAGAGAATTTTGTATAGTTTGACTTCGTTTTCCTAGTAATTTTAATTTTAACGACGCGAATTTGTGCTCTTCAGATTGATCATGTTTCTGTAAAGCGGTACCAATATGTTTTATGTCGCTATAGCCTGTGGAATTCCAAGGGGTTCGTAATTTTTCGTTAAATAACAAACAATTCCAACAGTATAATTTGTTTGTCGTTTCGCTACCGGTCAGCCAATAATATTTATTATACCAATTTTTATTAAAGCCTCTGTTGCTGCCACGAGAGTTTGTAATGATTAAATTTTTCATTTCGGGACACTGTCTTAATTTATGAACGAATAGTTTGTCATCAAGTTCCATGCTACTGAATTTATTTTTAATTAAAAAAAACACTACGTCTTTACCTTCATTTACCACCTCTCTAATAGTACTCGCACAGCCTGCAGTTGGATTTGCCATTTTAGAAAAAAATACACTTACAATTACTTTGGTACCGCCTAACCGTTAATTTGAATGAAGTAGACTATATAACAATTAAATGCACAATGCAGTTTCTCATTTAACTGAATTCTGAAGAGTCGTGTCTGCGACGAACCATGCCGAATACTTCCGATTTTCCAGGGTGGCTTCGCCCGTCCTAGCACGAGCGCGGAACAAAACTGTGTGGACTGTCCGGATTAAATAATAAATTAAAAGTATATTTAACTTTTGTTGACTCTGCTACAGTTAAGCAAGCATTTACTTTATTAAACAAAAATACGTATGTAATAACATACAAATTTATGTCACATACGTACTTCAATAATAAATCAATTACTTATTCTCATCATTCATTAATCGAATTTTTTAATTTATAATTCATTATAAAGTTAACACCGTGTCATAATAACGAATATGGTTATTACGAATTTTCATTTGATATGAAAAATTATTTATTAATGTCGGTGTTGCTATTTTTTATTAAAAAAAATATTCAAGAATTTTCGCATAATCATTATTTTGCTTACCACTTTACCCACATTTCAATAGAGTAATAAAAATAATTACCTACATACTTTTACAAACAAAATGAGCAGAAAAATCGAAATTAATTATTGAATCTTGAATCGAATATCCGAAGTCCGCTCCCGCAGCGTACGAGTTATACATTGAGACGGCATCGGCAGGGCGTCGTGCCCCGCTTGAAGCAAGAAAACACGGATATGCAAAGACGTGCGTTTCGAGTTCTTTACTCTCAGTCACGTACATAGAAAACCGAACGTATGTTGTTGCTTACAATCAAGAGGGTGGACCAGGGTGGACTAGCCCATCCTCACATGAACCGTATAACGCCGAGATCTGACGCACTTTTTTGCAACTGCAATTTCTCAGTTGCGGAAACTGCGGGATGTAATGAAGAAAATCCGTTGGCTTAAATGATGTTTATTATTATAAATATTTGTGTATACAAAAAAAATAATTTAAAAAAGAAAAAAATCAATATTTTACTTCCTATCGTAAAGAATCAAATAGGGTGGGCATTGCCCACCCTGCCCACCCCGAGGAGCCGCCACTGCTTTTTGTATTTAAATTTTTCAATGTTTCAGTTTTGAATTTTGCGATTTTGGGCTATTAAGATTTTTTTCACTTCTCAACTTTTCTTTTCCCGATTTCTGGATCTTTTGGTGTTTCAATTTTTCAATGTTTCAATTTCTCTGTTTCGAGTTTTCGGGTTCTCGATTTAACAATTTTCCGATTTTTCGACCTTTTGGCTTTTCGATTTTCCAGTTTTTTTACATTTCATGTTTGGGACTTTTCAATTTTTCAAATTTTCGATTTTCCGATTTTTTTTATTTTTAGATTTCTCTATTTTGCTATATAAAGTTTTTACGATTTTTCAGTTTTTCGTTTTTTAAATTTTTCGATTTTTTGGCGTTTGTAATTTTGCGATTTTTCGAATTTTTGACTTTTAAATGTTTCCATATTTTGATATTCCCATTTATCGATTTTTCGACATTTCGGTGTTCCGATTTCTCTCGATTTATGGATTTTTTAATAAGATTTTGAATTCTTCAATTTTTCATTTTATAAGGTTTTTGATTTTTCAATATTTCGATTTCTCGATTTTTCAATTTTTAGTTTTCGGAAGTTTTTGGCAGTTCAAGAGTTTTCAGTGTTTCATCAATTTTTCTTGGATTTTTGAATTTTTCGAGTTACTTTTGTTTGTTTTTTCAATTTATCGACTTCTCTACAATTATTTAAGATTTTAATTTTTTGATTTCTCAATTTTTCGTTTTTTTTTATTTTTCAGTTTTTCGATTTTTCGATTTTTAGTTTTTCGATTTATCCATTTTTTTTTAATTTAAATTTTTCAATGTTTCAATTTTTAATTTTTCAATTTTTTTTTCAGTTCTCAACTTTTCGTTTCTCGATTTCCGGATCTTTTGATGTTTCAATTTTTCAATGTTTCAATTTCTCTGTTTCGAATTTTCGAGTTCTCGATTTCTCAATTTTCCGATTTTTCGACCTTTTGGCTTTTTGATTTTCCAATTTTTTTGCATTTCATGTTTGGGACTTTTCAATTTTTCAAATTTTCGATTTTTCGATTTTTCAATTTTGCTATATGAAATTTTTACGATTTTTCAGTTTTTCGTTTTTTAAATTTTTCGATTTTTTGGCGTTTGTAATTTTTCGATTTTTCGAATTTTTGACTTTTAGATGTTTCCATATTAGTGATATTCCCATATTTATCGATTTTTGGACATTTCGTTGTTTCGATTTCTCTCAATTTATGGATTTTTCAACTTTAAGATTTTCAATTCTTAAAATTTTCGTTTTATAGGGTTTTTGATTTTTCAATATTTCGATTTCTCGATTTTTCAATTTTTAGTTTCCGGGAGTTTTTAGGAGTTCAAGAGTTTTCAGTGTTTCTTCAATTTTTTTTTGGATTTTTTAATTTTCCGAGTTATTTTTTTTTTTCGTTTTTTCGATTTATCGACTTCTCTACAATTATGTAAGATTTTAATTTTTTGATTTCTCAATTTTTCGGTTTTTTTGATTCTTCAGTTTTTCGATTTTTTGTTTTTTAAATGTTACATTTTTCGATTTCTCGATGTCTCGTGTTTTTTTTAATTTTCAATTTTTCAATTTTTCGATTTATCCATTTTTTTTAATTTAAATTTTCCAATGTTTCAATTTTTAATTTTTCAATTTTTTTTTCACTTCTCAACTTTTCGTTTCTCGATTTCGGGATCTTTTGATGTTTCAATTTTTCAATGTTTCAATTTCTCTATGTTTCGAGTTTTCGAGTTCTCGATATCTCAATTTTCCGATTTTTCGACCTTTTAGCTTTTCGATTTTCCAATTTTTTTACATTTCATGTTTGGGACTTTTCAATTTTTCAAATTTTCGATTTTTCGTTTTTTTTTATTTTTCAATTTCTCTATTCTGCTCTACAAAATTTTTACGATTTTTCAGTTTTTCGTTTTTTAAATTTTTCGTTGTTTCGATTTCTCTCGATTTATGGATTTTTCAATAAGATTTTGAATTCTTCAATTTTTCATTTTATAAGGTTTTTGATTTTTCAATATTTCAATTTCTCGATTTTTCAATTTTTATTTTTCGGGAGTTTTTGGGAGTTCAAGAGTTTTCAATGTTTCTTGAATTTTTCTTGGATATTTGAAATTTTCGAGTTACTTTTATTCGTTTTTTTCAATTTATCGACTTCTCTACAATTATTTAAGATTTTAATTTTGTTATTTCTCAATTTTTCGGTTTTTTTGATTTTTCAGTTTTTCAAATTTTAGATTTTTAGTTTTTTAAATGTTACATTTTTCGATTTTCAACTTTTCGTTTCTCGATTTCTGGATCTTTTGATGTTTTCAGTGTTTCAATTTCTCTGTTTCGAGTTTTCGAGTTCTCGATTTCTCAATTTTCCGATTTTTCGACTTTTTGGCTTTTCGATTTTCCAATTTTTTTACATTTCATGTTTGGGATTTTTCGATTTTTTGACGTTTCCAATTTTTCAATTTTTCCACTTCTCGAATTTTTATTTTTTAGTTTTTCGATTTTTCAATTTTTCATTTTTTAAATTTTACATTTTTTGATTTTCAATATTTCGTTTGTTTTTTATTTTTCAGTTTTTTAATTTTTCGTTTTCTTCAGATTTCGATGTTTCGAGATCCCAATTTATCGAGATTTCCATGTTTCGAGTTTCCATTGTTCAGTCTCCCGATTTTCAGTTTTCGATTTTTTTATAATGTTTCAAAGAAGCGGAATTCGTTGGACTGTACTTCAAAGGCGAGGGAAATTCTGTCGAAGTAATGCAATTTTTTTTAAGATTGTGAAACCTTGTCGGAAACCCCAAGTTTTTTTTTAAGAATGTGAAATCTTCTTAGGGGTCCCAACCGCCTAGTTTTTGGAGAAGGAAAACCTTTTCGGGAGGACCAAAAGTTTTTTTTTAATATGAAACCTTGGGGGCTCCTACTGTTTTTTTTTACAGAATATAAAACCTTCTCGAGAGCCCCAACTGTCTTTTTTTTAAGAATGTGAAACCTTCTCGAGGGACACAAATCTCTTTGTTTTAAGAATTTAAAACTTTCTCCAGGGCCCGCACTGTTTTTTTAAGAATGTGAAACCTTCTCAGGGGCCCCAATTGTCTTCTTTTTTAAGAAAATAAAACCTTCTTAGGAGTCCCAACTGCCTTGTTTTTAAAGAAGGTTAAACCTTTTCGGAGGGATCAAAAGTTTTTTTTAAGAATGTGAAACTTTCTTGGGGGCTCCTACTGTTTTTTACAGAAGATGCAACCTTCTCACTGGTCACACCTGCCTTTTTTTAAGAATGTGAAACTTTCTTGGGCCCCCCAATTGTCTTTTTTGTAAGAATCTAAAACCTTCTCGGGGTCCCCCACCGTATTTTCAAGAATGTGAAACCTTGTCAGGGACCCCAACTATTTTCTTTAAGAAAATTAAACCTTCTCCGGAATCTTAACTGTTTTTTTTTACGGAAGATGAAACCTTCCCGGGGACACAAATTATCTTTTTTTAGGACTGTGAAACCTTCTCAAGAGTCCGAACTGTCTTTTTTTTTAAATAAAAAATGTGAAACCTTTTCGGGAGTCCTCATTGTCTTTTTTTAAAGAAAGCAGACCTTCCGGGGTTCGCAACATTAATCAGAATAGATATCTAGTAATTAGAATTAACATTAGAATTAGAATTAACATTACTTGTTGGTTACATAACCAAAGCACTCCATTGTGATGTTATAAGTCTTACCTCCCAGTATATTGAGATAATCATGCGATGCACTTATTGTTCTTTTGTGAGTATATACCTGTCACGTCAATACCACATATGTGTTTAAATGTTCTGGAGTTCATGTAATAATCAGTGTCCCCGTTTGCAGCTACCTGGTGCGGCCCAGCCCCTTCTCCGCTCAGAAGACCTTCGAGCGCCACAACAGCCGCCGTAAGTCCAACATCAGCTTCTGCTCCCAGACGCTCATCCAGCAGATGGCCGCCGCCGCCCAGGCCGGCAGCCGGCGCGGCTCCGGCCTCGGCCTCACCGGCTACCAGTCGCCCCGGCCGCCTCCGCTCGCCACCACCAAGTCCAACTCCCTCTCCTTACCCGACAGCCCCACCGTGGCCGGCTACCAGCGCGGCCGCTCCAACTCCCTCCGCGTCATCGACGACATCCTCCTCCGCAGGTCCAACTCCCTGCGCCAGGGCCTCACCAGCGTGGGCAGCGGGCGCCGGAAGAGCTCCCTCGAGGACATCGGCCTGTCGCACTTCTCCACCAACTACAACAACCCCATCAAGATCGCGCTGAACGGCAGCATCGGGCTGGAGGTGACGCCCCCCGAGGAGAACAGCCCGCCGGTGATCTCCAGCAACACCGCCATGGTGGTGAACGCGCCCTTGCCGGGGGCGCACACCGGGAGCACCATGAGTCTAGCACAAAGTGGCCTGCCTAGTTCTAGTAGTTCTTTGCCTCAACCGCTCAACCTCGGCATCAACGTGCCTACGAACTTCGGGGAGGCGGCGCCCGCGCAGCAGGCGGCGCTGCCGCCGACCGCCGCCGCCACGGATCCGCAGCACCTGCAGGGGACGATCGTATGATATAACCTCATGTGGGGGAGGAGAATGGGGAGCTTAAGAAATAAGTGGCTCTAGATCCTCACTTCCACAGTAGCACCTCGGCGCCGTAGTGACGTAGATTCCGGGCGCGGGGATAGTCTTAGGGCGGGGAGGGGGAGGGTTGTGGGCCTTGTTGAAAAATGTGACTGCTAAAACCGGTTTCGGGGTGAGGGTCTTGAAGACGTGCTGGTTTCGAGGAGGGTGTGGCACCAGGAGTTGATTCGGCTTGCGAAATAGGTTAGAGGACGAAGTGTGCCAGGAAATGATCCTGGTTGTTACGTATCATGCCTTCAGAAGTCTCTTTTTTCTTTAATTTTTACTTCCTTAGCTTATACTTCATTGGACGACTGGCTACTTTTATGTTTTCTCGACGTTTCATGACCTCTAGAGTACGAAAAAAATAGGTGCCCGTTTCCGGCTGTCTGTCTGTCTATTTTAATTTTATAAAACAAGATACGCCTTGACATGTGGTTTATGAATTCGTGTTCAGTTTTTACTCTGGACATTCAGATTTTTGGAAAAAATCAAAATGGTATAACAACTTACAAATTAACTTTGAAATTGGAAAGCCGAATGCTCTGAAAACTTGTAAGCCTTTTGAAGCTATCGCAAACATACTAAATCGTTGATCAAAATTTGTTCGTTTATCTCTCTCTAAAAAATGTTGACGTCATTTTGCAATTTTTACCTTTTTACCCTAGATGTTTGGGGAAAAAATCAAAATTGTATTTTACAATTTAATTTCGAAAATGCAAAACCAATTGCTTTGAAATTTTGCAAACATTTTAAGGTTACAGGAAGCATGTTATACTGTTCATCAAAATCCATTCGTTTATGGACTCCCAAAAAAATTATGACGTCATCTTACAATTCAACCGAATAAATGTTCTTTAAATTTTATTAAATAACATGCTTCTGTGTGTGGATTTATGAATCCACTTCGAGTTTTGGAATTTGCCTTCAAGATTTTTGGAAAAAAAACAATATTTTACAATTTTAATAATAATGAAAAAACTTTCAGAGTTTAAAAAATGTATTTGTAGTCACTGCTACACGTGTTTCGGTACACAGTACCGTCTTCAGGCAGAAGAGAAACTGATATTTTACAATTTTGCTATGAAATTTCAAAAACCCTAAGACTCTGAAATCCTAGAAATATCCTAAGGTTATTGGAAGCAACATCTTATAATTTTGCCGAATAAATATTCTTCAAATTTAAGTGTTTTGGGGGAAAAACTGAATGTGGTTAACTAATTAATCAGTCCTCTGTTCTGGAGAGGAGACAAAATCAAATGCAATTTTTTTTAATGTGAACCCTTCTCGGGGCCCCCAGTTGTTTTTTTTTTTTTAAGAATGTGAAAATCTTCTCGGACCCCAACTGTGATTTTATAGAATGTGAAACTTCGGGAGACCCAAATGTCTTTTTTTAAGAAAGTGAAACCTTCTCGGGGGCACCAACTGTCTGTATTTAAGAATCTGAAATAATCTGGGGAGCCTCAACTGCCATTCTTGGGGTCCTAAATTGTCTTTGTTTTAAAGAATGTGAAACCTTCTCGGAGGTCTCAGCTGCCTCTTTTTTAAAGAAGGTGAAACCTTCTTGAAGGCCACAGCTGTTGTATTTTAAGAAAGTGAAACCTTGTCAGAACCCCAACAATTTTTAAAGAAGGTGAAACTTTCTCGGGGCCCCCAATTTTCTTTGTTTTAAAGAATGTGAAACCTTCTCGGGGGTTCCAACTGCCTTTTTTTACGAAAGTGAAACCTTGTCAAGAACCCCAACTATATTTTTTTTAGGATCCGAAACCTTCTCGGGTCCCCAATTATCTTTGTTTCTGTTTTAAAGAATGTGGAAGACTCTCGAGGTTCTATTTTCAGAATGTGAAATCTTCTTGGGGCACCCAAGTTTGTTTTAAAGAATGTGAACCTTTCTCGGGGGTCACAACTCATTTTTTTTTAATCTAAAACCTTCTCAGGCCTCCAATTGTCTTTGTTTTAAAGAATGTAAACGCTTCTCGGGGTCCCCACCTGTCTTTGTTTTAAAGAATATGAAACTTTCTCTTGGGTCCCAACTGCCTTTTTTTGAAGAAAATGAAATCTTCTCGAGGGCCCCAACTGTTCTATTTTAAGAATGTGAAACCTTCTTGAGGAACCCAATTTTTTTTTAAGATAGTGAAACCTTGTCAGAAACCCCAACTGTATTTTTTAAGGATTTGAAACCTTCTTGTTCACCCAACTGTCTTTTTTGTAAGGAAGAGAAACCTTGTCAGGAACCCCAACTGTATTTTTTTAAGGATCTAAAACCTTCTCGGGCCCCAAACTGTCTTTTCTTTTACGAAAGTGAAATCTTGTCGGAAATCTAAACTGTAGCTTTTTAAGGATCTGAAACCTTGTCGGGCCCCAAACTGTCTTTTTTTAAGAAAGTGAAACCTTGTCAGAAATTTCAGCAGTATTTTTTTAAGGATCTGAAACCTTCTTGGGTCTCCAACTATGTTTGTTTCAAAGAATGTGAAACCTTCTGGGGGCTCCCAAATGACTTTGTTTTAAAGAATATGAAACTTTCTCTTAGGTCCCAACTGCCTTTTTTTTGAAGAAAATGAAATTTTCTGGAGGGACCCAATTTTTTTTAAAGTTAGTGAAACCTTGTCAGGAACCCCAACTGTATTTTTTAAGGATTTGAAACCTTCTTGCTCCCCCAACTGTCTTTTTTGTAAGAAAGAGAAACCTTGTCAGGAACCCCAACTGTATTTTTTTAAGGATCTAAAACCTTCTCGGGCCCCAAACTGTCTTTTCTTCTACGAAAGTGAAATCTTGTCGGGAATCTAAACTGTAGTTTTTTAAGGATCTGAAACCTTGTCGGGCCCCAAACTGTCTTTTTTTTAAGAAAGTGAAACCTTGTCAGAGATCTCCACTGTATTTTTTTAAGGATCTGAAACCTTCTTAGGCCTCCAACTATCTTTGTTTCATAGAATGTGAAACCTTCTGGGGGCTCCCAAATGACTTTGTTTTAAAACCTTGAAACCTTCTTGCTCCCCCAACTGTCTTTTTTGTAAGAAAGAGAAACCTTGTCAGGAACCCCAACTGTATTTTTAAGGATGTAAAACCGTCTCGGGCCCCAAACACTCTTTTCTTTTACGAAAGCGAAATCTTGTCGGGAATCTCAACTGTGGTTTTTTAAGGATCTGAAACCTTGTCGGGCCCCAAACTATCTTTTTTAAGAAAATGAAACCTTGTCAGAAATTTCAAGTGTATTTTTTTAAGGATCTGAAACCTTCTCGAGCCCCCAACTACCTTTGTTCTAAAGAATGTAAAAGCTTCTGAGGGCCCCCAACTGTCTTTGTATTAAAAATGTGAAACTTTCTCGGGGACCCCAACTGTTTTTTTAAGAATGTGAAACCCCCAATCGTCTTTGTTTTAAAGAATGTGAAGCCTTCTCGGGGGTCCCAACTGCTTTTTTTAAAGAAGGTTAACCTTCTCGAGAGCCCCAACTGTTCCATTTTAAGAATCTGAAACCTTCTGGAAGGACCCAATTGTCTTTTTTTTAAGAAAGTGAAACCTTGTTAAGAACCCCAAGTGCATTTTTTAAGGATCTGAAACCTTCTCGGGCCCCCAACTATCTTTGTTTTAAAGAATGTGAAACCTTCTCGGTGCTCCCAACTGCGTGTTTTTGGTGAAGGTGAAACCTTCTGAAGGGCCACAAGTGTTTTGTTTTAAGAATTTGAGACCTTCTCGGGGGACCCAACTACCTTTTTTTAAGAATGTGACACTTTCTCGGGGTCTCAACTGTCTTTTTTTTAAAAAAGCTAAAACATTTTTTTTTTCTTACACTGTGACTAGTCTTTCTATATTGTTTCTACTCCATAGAGGTTATCACAAAAAAGTAAAAGTTTGCAAAATCAAATTTTATAATTTTGCATTAAAGCAGGATTTGTTGGACTGTACTTCGGGGGCGAGGGAAGTTCTGTCTAAGTAACTTTCATCGAATTTTTAAACATAAATTTATTATACATGTATGAAAAATATTAAAACCATCTGTACAAAATAAAAATAGCTGTTGTAGATTTCTGAGGGCGTGATATTCAACTAGTATCGTTCGTCCGGGCATTGTCGCGTCCACCTGGATGATCATCGTCTAGTCATTTTCAACCATCACCTTTTCTAGCAGGGTCAATCGGAATTCTCTTTCGGCCCCGACCACTACCATATTTGGCCTTATTAACTTTCTATCAGAAATTTAGACTGATACGTATGTAAATCGTTCTTCGCCAGTCGGCCTGGCCTAGCCAAATTTTTCTGTAACGGTTGTAGTCTCCTGGTCGTACCAAACGAACACCAGGCCTAGCTCGAAGACGTACGACTCATCTGAAAATCACTCTGCGTAGAAACCCACAATGACACCACCACGGCACAAGATTTTGGTCGATATTCTCTGACTTTTTTTTCAAAGACTGACTCTAGACACGTGCTTTTTGGATGAGTGGTCCAGATCAGTAACGCGCCGCATAGCTCAATAGGTTTACTATTTGTAGTTTCGTTTGTACATAAATTCAACTGTTTCTTCCACGCAGGCCAAAGGCTGCTTATCAGTATAATTCGTTCAGGTATGTTGAATGAGGGATCAAATACTGTAGTTAGAACTATCTGTTGGTAAATCCTTTGGGACTTTGGTGGTACCGGGCGGTCGGTCCGCGAGTACTCATCTTCCTGGGTCGGTCTGTGCATTCGTTTCTCTTTTCCATCTTCCTGTCTGTTGAAGGCCGACCGGCCGGTACTCTACAAGAGATTACCGTTAAATCTCGCATGGTGGGTACGTTTTCGTACCGCTTACCTTACTTTGGTGCACTCTTTCGTTCCATCTTGCTTGATTGTTTGTGGTGTTTCCTCAATAAATCAGAATCAAAATATACGTCGAAGTGGTTATGAGTTAGATTTGCTTTGGTAGTTTAGTGTAAACCGTCCATGCTAGTTTTTGTGCATGTCGTACGACATGTCTAGCATCCCTGAGCTGTACTTAGACAAAGACTGTGGGTGTGGTCCAATAACCGCGACGTATAAATACTAACATATCTAAAGAAATAAGTGTCGTAGACATATATTTTTCTAGAGTGATGAAATTGTGAAGGGTTTCGAATATAAAACCGATGCTTTGGTACTATTGCTTTATTTGAATGATTAAAAGAGAAACGAGTCGGCCTGCGTGCCGACCGTATGTCTTTGATACGTTCTAAAATAATACTTTTTATATAATTCAACTGGATATTGTACATAATGTTGTTTCATAGTTCTCAGAGTTTGCTTACTTAATTATCATAGTTATAAATATTTAATAAATGAATCTACAATTACTGTTAGACCATGTAAAGAATAAAGATGACTTTTAAATTGCAATGCACACTGCTGGCCGGATTAAACCCGTTTGTACAATTACAACAATGTGCATTCGCAAACGCACGAATAAATTCATTATTTAACATTACAGAGTGGAAAAACCTTTACTGAATACGCTTACATTTGATGTACAGTAAAGTCAATACTGTCATAGCACATTATATACATTGTATTTTCAAACGTGTTTCATTGCAACCTCTCCTCACACCATCCTCAACCTTAACCACCTCTAAGTACTAGGCTGCAGCAGTTTCAGAATTATGTAACATTTTGGTGAGGTCTTTGTTTGAATTTGCCAGTGGTAAGTACTACCTCAAGATAACTGAAATCGATTCAACAGGAGGCAACCAGAATTCCATATGGAAGAAACTATGCCAGATTTTGCTACAGCATTTGATTCCATCCAAATTAACTGATTGTTAGAAAAATCATCTTTTCAAAAAATTCAAAATAGCTTTGTGAGACAAACATATTTCGCCATAAATAAAATTTGTAAAAGATCTTAAGCATAATGAACAGCGTTCATTCTTTTTAAAGTTTTGGTGAAATTTTTCATTACGTATTTTTAATATTCAAAATTTCGGTTATTTATGGAAGTTTCGAAACGCACTTTTCACCACTGTTTCCAGCTTACATTAACTCATTGTCGATTTCTTTTGTTGTTTAGTGTTTCGCATTTCCGACAATGTCTCCTGAGCAACGTTTAGAGTTCTGTATGCTCAAAACAGTGGTGAAAACCGCGTTACGAAATTTATAAGGAATAGATTACGTTCTGAAAATATATTGAAAATCTCATGAGCCAAAAGAAGGAAATCTTCTTAACAAAAATGTATTGATATATTTAAATACATCTAGTTCTAGTGTCAAAAAGGAAAGCAAGTCCAATATTTTAATTTTAAATGTTTTATTGTTTGTTAAGCTGTCTTATTTATTTCCTTATTTAAATTGTATGTTTAATGCTTATATAACCATGAGTAAACATCGTAATTAATATCAGGATTAACCTACATTCTATAACTTTCTGTACGCGATTTTAGTTGAGCAATAACTTATTCTAAATTCTAAATTTTGTTTCCGAAGTATTTTGAAAGACTCTCAGGGACCACTTGTATTTTGTTTTTGAAGTAGTTCGGAAGAATCTCGAGGACCTCTTGTAAATCCTGTGTTTGAAGTAATTTGAAGGAATCCCCGAGACGCTTTATGTCTGGTTTTCAAGTATTTTGAAAGAATCTCAGGGAGCCCTTGTGTGATTTTTGAAGTAGTTTTAAGAATCTTAGACACCCACTGTGTTTTGTTTTTGAAGTACCTAGTTTAAAAGAGTTTCGGGTAGAGCTTGTTTTTGAGATAATTCGAAAAAATCTAGAGAATATTGTTACGAATTGAAAATTCGCAGTAGCTATTTCGGTTTTTATTGGCATTCTCGGATCTGATTACATTTTGTTTACTCATTTTTTTTTTGTTTCGTCATTTCGTGCATTGGGTGGTTGGGTTGGGCACGGCGGCAATGAAGGACAACTTTGGTGGAGGGTTTGTCCCGAGCTTTTGACTCCCCCAGTCGCAAGACTGTCGCGATGATTCTGAGCTTGGAGGGGCTCAGATGAGTGTTTCAGCCTCGCTGTTGTAGATCGGTCTTTTGGATCGTTTCAGCTTGGTTCTTGCTATAAGGAACTGGATGGATCGCGCCATCCCAGAGCTTCACTCTGAAATTTGATTTTCGTTCTTTTTGTTATTTTTGTTCGCTAATTTCATTTGCTTACCTAGGTGGGTACAAACGCCGTGGAGCGTCCCCTAGAATTTTCGTCATTTCTTGAATCCTGATAGACTTGTTTTTTTTTTCTCTTTTGTTAATAACCATCGCATCCACTCATTAGTTACATCGATTAGGGATTTTCGTCGGAATTCGACGTTTCGTAAGTTTGCCACTAGAGGGCCAAACTTCTGTGAACTCTCGCTTCGTCACCTCGCCACGTCATCGCAGGTGGAAGGGAATCCATTTTTGCTTTGGTACTCCGTGCTGACTGGTGTTGGGGGATAGTGCTTTCCTCTTTTGCAGTTCGTTTTAGCAACCTTTTACTCGTCGTTTCGTTTGGAATTGCATTCGTCGGATCTGCTTGCTCCCCTAAAAGGTGCTATCGCTTAGAGCGCTTTTGTGAGCTGCAAGAGAAGTAGTGCGTTCGAGCACTACGACTTCGTCGGATTTTTTGGTTAAGGGCACTAGACCATCCCACTAAAATCGGAGAAGCTGCAGTCGATCCGCAGCTTTTTTTTTTTTCGTGTTGCTGATCTTATTATCCCCGAGATTGAGAATCGGATCCAGTTTTGAGTGGGAGAACGAATTCTATGAATTCCGACTGTCGTGGGCAGTCGTGAGCCCTCCCATAACAGCTGGAGAGTTATCATCTGTTGGACAGGCCGTCACAAAATCCCCGACTCGACATCGCCCTGGGAATTCGCTGCGACGCCGCTGTTTCGCCATCTCGTCGTTGATACCGCAGGAGGCAGGTGCCCATGGTACTTCCATTCCTTCTTATTAGATTTAAGTATTAATCGACTTACCTTCTTCATTGTATCGTAAATCGTTTTCGAATTTTGGCGTAACTAGCACTAGTACATAACCTATTAATAACAACCGGTACGACTGTGACGCTCCGCCCCACACTGATACCTTCGTACGATCGTTAGAACTACCGAGCGTGTGACCTACCTCGTCTTTTCCATTGCACTCGAAATATTTAATCAAATCGTTATTCGTGATGACTTCAATTAATTTGTTCGCTTCGTAAACCTCGTTCGTATCGCTCGTAATTCTCGTAAATAGTTAGTCGCCTTTATTAATTAAACCTCGTTCGTATCGCTCGTAATTATCGTCAATAGTTCGTCGCATTAAATCGTTAACATCTTATTCACTTATTTTTCTGCTTAATTATCTAGTTATTTCTCACTCTTATTTTTCTTCTTAATTAGTGATCTTAGGTTTTATTGTACTCAGATATTTTAAGTAACAGCTTGCAATTACAATATTTATATTTTTCCGGTTTTTTTCTTGTTGTAATTGTGTATTAATAAAAAACTGGTGGCGTCCTGGCGACGTCGCTACACAAAACAGTGTGCTCTATTCTTTGCGAACCTCTAGCGACCTGACACTTTGCACCCGCAGGAACTCACCCCTTCTCCACGAGCAGGCCGGCAGCGAGCTGTGAATTTGGCTCGTAATAATATCTTTTTTGGTTTTGAAGTAATTTGAAAGTATCTCGGGGACCACATGTAGGTCTTTCATTTAAGTATTTTGAAAGAATCTCGGAGACATCTTGGGTTTCATTTTTAAAGTAGCCGAAAAGAATTTCGAGAATACCTTATGTGTAGTTTTTCAAGTAGTTTGAAAGGATCTCGGGTACCCCTTGTATCTGATTTTTGAAGAAATTTGAAGGAATCTCGGAGATCTCTTTGGTTTTGTTTTTGAAGTATGTAGGTAGTGGGAAAGAATTTCGAGAACCTCCTGTGGCTCTTGTTTTTGACGTAATTTGAAAGAGTTTCAAGAGCCATTAGTATTTTCTTTTTTTAAATAATTTGAAAGAATATCGGAGACCCCTTGTGTCTGTCTGATTTTTGAAGTAGTTTGAAGGAATCTCAGTAGCCCACTGTGTTTTGTTTTTGAAGTACCTAGTTTAAAAGAATTTAGGGTAAAGCTTGTTTTTGAGGTAATTTGAAAAAATCTAGAGAATACTTTTTTTGGTTTTGAAGTATTTTGAAAGAATCTCGGAGACCTCTTAGGTTTTATTTTTAAAGTAGCCGAAAAGAATTTCGAGAATACCTTATGATTGGTTTTTCAAGTAGTTTGAAAGGATCTCGTGTACCCCTTGTATCTGATTTTTGAAGTAGTTTGAAGGAATCTCGGGGACCCCCCAGGTTTTGTTTTTGAAATATGTAGGTAGTTGGAAAGGGTCTCGAGGACCTCCTGTGGGTCTTGTTTTTGAAGTATTTTAAAAGAGATTCAGGAGCCCCTAGTATTTTCTTTTTTGAAGTAGTTTGAAAGAATATCGGAGACCCCGTGTGTCTGTCTGATTTTTGAACTAGTTTGAAGGAATCTCAGGGGCCCACTGTGTTTTGTTTTTGAAGTAGTTTGATAGAATCTCGGAGAACCTTTGTGTGATTTTTGAAGTAGTTTGAAGAATCCTAGACACCCACTGTGTTTAGTTTTCGAAGTACCTAGTTTAAAAGAATTTCGGGTAGAGCTTCTTTTTGAGATAATTCGAAAAATCTAGAGAATATCTTTTTTGGTTTTGAAGTAATTTGAAAGAATCTCGGGGACCACATGTGGGCCTTTCATTTAAGTATTTTGAAAGAATCTCGGAGACCTCTTGGGTTTCATTTTTAAAGTAGTCGAAAAGAATTTCGAGAATACCTTATGTGTGGTTTTTCAAGTAGTTTTAGAGGGTCTCGGGTACCCCTTGTATCTGATTTTTGAAGTAGTTTGAAGGAATCTCGGGGATCCCTTTGGTTTTGTTTTTGAAGCATGTAGGGGAAAGTGGTCACCATTCGTACGCGGGGCACATTCGTACAGTTAGTATAACAGAAATACTAAACGGCACACAAACATGCCTTTGCTTGTGTGCATAGACATATCGGCCGCCATGTTGCCAGCGGAGTGTCGCGCCAGTCGCACTACTGTGTATCAGCTGACAAGACGTAACGTGTTTTCGCGCGCGGTAAGTAAATTTTTTACGTAAATTTAGTTCATAATTTTGAGTAGAATTGTTATGTTTTTGACAAAATGGTGATGATTAATTAATGTTAACATTGTTTATTGTGAGCTTTAATTGTTATATTTCTCAAACTAAATTAGAATTTGTATAAAGTTGTATTTTAATTTTGTGCAAAGACATGGGGTGCATTCGGACAGCCAGACAGTGGGCACATTCGTACGCGTACGAATGCACCCCTTTACATTTCATTAACTACCAGTATATTAAAATTCAATTTTTATGTAATAACATATAGTATTACCTTTTAAAATTATCGTGTAGACAGCAAAATAACATCTTTTTCCTTTTATAAAGTAATCTTGTTCTAACAAAATGAAATATTTTTATTAAGTCAACCTTATAATTATTTTTTTACTGCAGAATCATGGTGCGAAAATATAAAAAAAAGGGTACGCGTACTCAAGAAGTGGATGAAGA